GGAAGATCTGAMGTGAGCGGATTCAGCGTGCTTGATGTYYGCAGGMCACGCTCGCGCAAAAGCCCCGGTTAGCAGAGRAAGGCACTGAGCGTGCCTGGCGTGCGTARCCCGCTGGCATAGAGTCGGTTCATGAGCAGGCACAACGGGCAGAGGGGCGCACCAAGCGGTGCACGGTGCGGCGTCCACAGACTGACGTCTTCCTCCGGMSTGACGTCTTCCKCAGATGATTGACTMAGCACAGGGGGGGGTGTTTTCCGCGGATTAGAGGGAACGAAAGGGGTGAAAAAGGAAGAAGAGAGTGGACTGCCAGATAGAGAGTGCTCTGGCGGAAAGAGAGCGTGTAATCAGATAGAGAGAGAGAGAASAGGCAGGCAAAGAGAGGGTTTYGCRAGTAAGTTCGGAACGGAGAGAGGCRTGCACAGTATAGGTGRGGGAAAGAGAGATTGAGAAGGAGAGAGATCAAGATGGAGAGAGTTCGAGGAGGGAARAAGGGAGGAAGGGAWGTTGGCGAACGGGTATGATTCCATCAGTGTAGGAACGAGAGAGAGGGCGAGCGGGGAATAGAGGGAGCAACCGGCGGATACAGCCAGTCTACCGAGCCAGTCCAATTAAGCAAATGGCAGAAACGACTTGGCTCCCTGGTTCGAGCTAATTAAGTAATTCTGCTGCGGGCTAGGGTAGCCGGTTTCGGTGAATCAGCCCCATCAAGAACCTCTGCAGCAATCAGGAACGACTATTTTCACATGTCGGGCTAATCAAAGTACACTTGCGGATCTGTTAAGAATAGCCGCTGTGAGCGGCCCAGCCAAAGTTCCTTTGCAGTACTAACGAGAATAGCCTGTCTGAGCAGGCTAACCAAAGTACACTTGCGGATCTGTTGAGAATAGCCGCTGTGAGCGGGTCAGCCAAAGTTCCCTTGCAGATCTAACGAGAATAGTCTGTGTGAGCAGGCTAATCAAAGTATACTTGTTGATCTGCTGCGAATAGCCTCTGCGAGCGGACTAACCGAAGTACGTTTGCTGATCTGTCCAGAATACCCTGTGGGAGTGGTCAAATTAAGCAAGAGTCCACTGCTGCTGATGGGAACAACTGACCTCACAAATCAGTCCGAACAGGCAGAAGTATACCGTCGCTGACGGGGGTAACTATTTTCGCTGGTTAGACCCCGACAAATACTTCTGTTTTTTTTATATAGCACAATTGAGTCTTTTATTATGTTTTATTTATTTATTTTCTTTATCTTATGTTTGAAAGATTTTAACTCCATTAATTCCTAGACCTCAAGAGGCCGATCGTTTACAAGCGRCTGAATTAAGGGCATTTTAAGGAACTTTATTTCAGATCGATCGAGATCAACTCGGACGAGGGTGTCGTTCCAAACCCTGAACCGAATCGATTTCAAATTGCCATTCAGGGTATTACTGGGGATTATAATGCTGGCCGATTGAGAGTTGCTCAATCGAACACATCATTTAAGACTTCGTGCCAACCTGGTTACAATCTGCTCGCACGCAAGAGGGCTACTCCGTGCGAGAGAGAGAGAGAGGGAATTGGGGGAAGCGGAGCGAGAATGCGGGCCAGGGAGAGAGAGCGTGCAGAGAGGGAAAGAGTGAGTGTGAAGGGGGGGAGAGAGCGAGCCAGGGAGAGAGAGCGTGCAGAGAGGAAAAAAGTGAGAGCGGAGTGGGAGAGAGAGCGTACCGAGAGGGAGAGAGTGTGTGCAGAGAAAGGAAGTGAGAACCAAACCCAGTAGGTGCATAAACCCCTCGGTTGAGAATAACTGTCGTCTGATCAACGCCAAGAGTGGCCCACCAAAAGATTTCTAGTCGCGTCATGATTGAACTGTCTTGCATGGACTTTCAAATTGGGGGTTGTTTCAAAATATTTTCTCATTGTTGGATAATCCACCTTGTGATACATACTGTGTGAAGGTGGATGGGCGAGCAACTGCTGASTCATACCGCAAARGTTACTTCCAAACAGGCATWTCARCAAAGATTTGTGAGGTCTTTTCTGCATAYAYGCACACAATGTCATTGAAACTCATGTTCCTTGAAAAACACTATTCGCTGATCACAAAGAACGGGGCCTTGTTTCCACTTGCAGGGCCTTGCTTTCAGTTGCTGTTGTACTCGCTGATTACAGCGAACAGGGCCTTCTATACACTTGCTGTTGTATTCGCTGATTACAGCGAGCAGGACCTTCTATGCAGTTGCTGCTGTATTCGCCGATCACAGCGAGCGGGGCCTTGCTTTCAATTGCTGCTGTATTCGCTGACCACAACGAACAGGGCCTTGCTTACACTTGTTGTTGTATTCACCGATCACAATGATTAGAGTCTTGCTTTCACTTGTTGCTATACTTCCTGAACAAAGTGAATAAGAGTCTTGTATGGGCGCGCGATTGACGGGCATTCCGAAACTTGCACACCTTGCTGGTCGTTGAGGACCTCCGAAGCGGGGGCAGTGAAGTGACAGGCACTGTACCCCTTGGCTTCACCGCACAGTGAAGGCCCCTCCCCGGGTTTCCTTACAAATTTGGCGCCGTTGCCGGGGAGGGGATCACACCCCCAAGGCCACGACCTTCCCCACATAACGGGGGTGCCCAGGGAACGACTAATTAGCTTCAATAAGTTGATTAGTCGATTTTTCTTATTTTTGTTAAAATCTAAAAATATTTCCTTTTAAGATAACTCATCAACCGTGTGTTTTTGCGCGAAGTACCTTGAGGGGAAAGTTCGACCTCATGACGAGGCGAACGTTTTGAGACGTTTCTTGCGAATTTCTAACTGTCGGAATTAAAGATAATTAAAATTTTTTATTTTCTTATTTAATAATTCAAAATTACCAGTATTTCCTTTTAATTTATTGCGAGAAACTGGTCCTTTTTTTAGGGATAACCCCTGGACCAAAGTTATTCAGCTTTTTTTTCTTGTCGTTTTGATACCTAGGGCGAGATGATCAGAGCTAGTTAGGGGCTGAAACAGCAACGAACAACGAAGAAAAATTTGGAAAACAAAAATAAAATTTGTATTTTCTTTTACATTTTGTGAAAAAAATGGGGTAATAGAAATTAAAGGAAAGTAATCGGATAAAGATTTTTCGGATATTTAGGAGGGTCAGCAGGGAAAATCCCGGGGTTGTACGAGGGGCGGGGGCGAGCGTGCGGTTGCGCACAAAACCCCGAAACCCTAGTTAGTTAAACTCTAACAACCCCGAGGAGCAACATGTAAAAGTTGGTTCGAAACAAATCTGAATTATCTTATGATTCCTCTTTCTTGTTATTTTTGTTATTTACTTGAAACGAAAATTATTTTTTGAAAATGGATTAAGTAAATTTTGATTTATTTGGATCAAAATTTGTAGGCTCCTTCTTTAGACTGCTGAGCTAGGGGCAACAGCTCCGAACCCCATCCCAAAGGGGGGAGGGGAGATGCTGCCAATTTTTTTCGAAAATTTTTAGTAATTAAATAGATCCATCAAAAATTTTGGGACTGAGAGACATAATGTAAAATATAGCCCTAGATAGGAGTAAAATAAGAAAACGAATTTTACAGGCATCTCCTCTGTTTTATTAGAACTAAATCTGATTAAGTCAAGAAAATTAAGTAAAATAGTCGGGAAGGCCAGAAAATTGGCCAGATTTTGAGGTAGGTTTGGAAAACAAGTCTACTCGGCCACCAAACCAAGGAAAGGGATTCTCTGACTTTAACCTAATTATCCCTAATTAATTGGTTAAAATTAGAGAAAATTCCTAAAGGAGGGCCGGAAGAAGGCGGCGGAACCTAGGACTGCCTACAGACCTTTCCTGGATTAGTCTGAGGAGTGAGTCGAGAGTAGGAGATAGGGGGAGGAAAGAAATTCAGTAATTTTCCCGAATTAAATACCCTTAAATAAAATTGGAGATTAGGGATGGCTAAGGGAATGACGCTAGCCTTCCCGATTTAGGGTTTTTTTTATAGACTTTTAGAGAGGGACTCCCGCTGGCCAGGAACTCGCTGGAGGAATACTCCTAAGGGTTTCTATCGAGTGGGACACCCGCCTCGTGATCGGGGAGACTCGGTCAGGAGGCGTAGAGGTTCTATTCGGGAGCGGGGCCCGGTGATTCCTGTGAAAGGGGACGATTGCTTGGATGTGGCAGCCAGAGGCTGTGGAGCAGTACGAAGTCGATCCTGCCTGGGGAATAGAACCCCCGGAACTCCTAGGAGACGACTTGGTAGAGTTAACGTTACCCGCCTGACCGACCTTCGAACACGATGGTCAATCAGGTTGGAGGTCTACCCTTCTCACCACTGGTGCTTGGTTGTGGACGTATCGAGAGCACCAGAGAGGTCAGGACGGAGGTCGGTCTAGAGGCGTAGTGCGGGGCTTTCTTTACCTAGATTTAGATAAGGCCAAGGATGTCGCATGGTCGTTAGCGATCTACCAGACAAGTCCTATCATTGAGAGAGCGTCACAGATTGTCCAAGAGGAGGTAGGCGCCTTTCGAGGGGAGGCGGCCCGCGACCCGTTGACCTTGATTCTAGGGTTACCTCCTTTAGAGGTCACAGGACATCTGCGGGTCGCACGACGCAACTTCTTCTCGTACTCGACGTCGTGGCTTAGGGCAGTAATTCCCGCTTTCGTGACGGAAGGCACGTTCAGAGGAGTAGGCGGCTTAGCTGAGGCTTACCTCGCCTACAGCGAGTTGGAGTTTTTTGCAAGAGGGGATTTAGACAGGTGTTACATTTATTATTCGCTCATGACCGGAGGACCACGTAGAGGCGACGAAGGGATACAACTCATAGAGCTGATTCGGTCGATAGCTCCGAGGGCACAAAAGCACCTGTGGGGTGTTTCCCCTCTCGCATACGTATGGGACCTGCTTGATCGGGAGCTCTGCGCGAGACCAGAGTTCATCACCTGTATAGACAGTCTTTTCGTTGATGATTGGTGGGTCCGACTGGATAGGGACTCTGGGGCTCTGGTGTACTCGGGCCAGTTGGAGCGATATTACGAGGCGATTCGGTACCCTCCGTATTTTGTTGACAAGCGACGCGACGAGGACGAAAGAGAGGCCGTGGTTGAGGAGCCGGAGAGGGGCATAGACATGAACGCAGGATTTTCCCGGATAGGAGTAGCTATCCCCGGACAGCGGAGAGGTAGGGACCTCTAAACGTATGACCTCTATGCCAGAGGATTATGACGTCTTTCCGACCTCGTCCTTTAACGTCCCTGAGTTGTATGACGATGAGACAGTGGAGGTTCCTTTCGTGAGTCGTGAAGGAGCCTCCTACAGAGACTATCGCAGCCCCAGATCCGTGCTTGCGGATAGGGGAGTATGGATGTGGATGTACCACGACGCGAGCTTTGAGCACGACCGTCGAGGACGGGTAGTACCCGACTCGATGAGGATAGACGTGAGGGCATATATATACATAGACAGGACCGCAGAGGTCACGATTATAGTGGAGAGCTTGACGTTGGGAGAGAGCACCTCGATACGCAAGGCGGAGGACATTCTCGACGCAGAGGTTAGGGACACAGTCAGAGGCGAGGAGGACTTCTTCGAGAAGCGCAGACCGTGGTGTAGCGATACGAGGCCGTGTCCTGTGAGGGGGCACTTAGCCTTAGCAGCGCCATGGTACTTTCCATATCCACAAGGATTCTTCGAAGTAGCGACAGTGATCCCTTTGTTCGTAGTGGATCAGCTCTTCGGTGGGATAGGGAACCTGGTGCAGAGTTATCTCCTTACGAAGGAGCTTGAGAGACTTTTTCAGAGCAATGTCCAGAGGCGACTTTTCTACTCTGCTCAACTCTTGCGAGGCTTTATAGACAGGGAGGACCGTATAGAGCTTGTGGAGTTTGTCCGATCGTTCGTATACCTGTGGGCGTCTGAGGGAGAGCCTTTCCCCTACGACGTATTCCGGAGTGCTCTATCAAGGGGGACTTACCATTTGGGAGGCGTGGCCACGTTGTTTGACGACGAGTCATATTGGCCGGACGCAGGGCTTGTTAGGATCAACGAGCTCGAGTGCCACTACGGGTACCACGACATAGGGGAAGCGGATGAGGACTGGCCAGAGGAGGAATCGGACCAGTGGATTTTCGACGACGACGGCCGTAGGATCCGGGTACAGCCGGACCTAGGGTTGGCGGATCTCTTCGGAGAGGACTGGCCCAAGGACGGGCCAGAGGAGGGTAGCATCCATTGGCCGCGTCTGGGGACGGAGTTCAGTGAGAGAAGAAGGGATTCCTGCTCCGCCAGTCACGGGCTGGAACTGAGAGCGAAGGAACGAGAGGGGCCTATTGTCAAGAACTTAGCCCATAGCGATTGGGCGACTTGAGTTAATGAGTTAGCTTGAGTGATGAGGAGTGACTCAGCAGCTTGGCTAACTTATAGCGTGAGGAAACTTGTAAGACCCAGAGAGACGGCTGTTGGATATGATATTCCTCTTCCTGTGAGGTTAGAGGAGACTGGTTGTGTTCCGATA